GGCGCGGGCGGAGGCGGCCCGCGGTGAAGCCGCTCTCGTTGTCGCTTACAGCTCCTGCGTTCTATGAGCGCCGGTCTTGTCTCCCCCAGCTAGACTGTGAGCGCCCCCATGGCGGGGACCTGCACCCCCACCTCTTCGGCTTTCGGCCGACGTTTATGTGCTATGTGCCCAGCCCGGTGCTGGCTCCGTTAGGAGACACAGGTGAGAGTCGGGGCGCCGGCCGCAGTGCGGAGCCGGACAGCGCGGGGAGCCCTGCCCACAGCCCGCCCGCCCGCCCCAAGGCAGGAAGGTCAGTGTCCGGTGGAGTTCGGAGACCACTTCAGCCCACCGGATTGGGAGAGGCCAGGGGCTGGACCTAGTGAGCGCACAGGAGTGTGTAGTTTACTGCGCCCAGCTTTAGGAGACCTCCTCCCATTCCCAGACGAGGGCCAGTCAGTGGGAATCAGGCGGTCTGCGGTCTTCACCTCCCTGGACAAATGCTGCAGTCATAAGGCTTGCTGTGATTACGGTGAGCTGACAATGTCTCTTTGCAGATTTTGGCTATGGAAAGGGGAAATGTACTAAGCAAAGTCCGACGGGAGCCCATGAGACGCGCTTTGGAGGTAGAGTAGTTCAGTGATTCTTCTTGTCCTCTTCCTCAGACACGGTACCAGACAGTGTTCTGGCCGTGGACAATCAGAATGACAGGGTTTAATGAGTGTGCCTGGAGCCCAAAAGAGCAGTGAAGATAGAAACCGAAGGATTGGAGAGACTAGGTGTGAGGGCAAAATAATAACCTAAGATGTCAAGAGGTGCCTGGGAGGTGGAGAGTATCATCAAAGGGACACGAGTCACTGGGAGCCCACTTTACAGGGTCTGGCACCTGGAAGAGAAAGACCCACATAAGTAACTGGAGTGTGGTAGGTGTGGAAGAAGGTAGAGGCTGGTCAACCAGGTTATCCGGAGAAAAGGTCAGAAGAAGGGATGGCATGGAGTAGTTCTGGGCACTGTGGCATCGCAGGAGCTGTGAAACTCCTATAGGAGTCCCCTTTAGCCCAAACTGAGTGTGTGGAGTGAAGTCAGCCTTAACTATCTGGAAGATTCACTGGGCAGCTTCAGTGTTAGGCCAGTTGCCTGAATGTGTGCGGGACCCTGGATTTGATCTTTGGCCAGCATTATTTTCTTTTTTTTAAGGTGACAAGGAATATCTGGGGGAGATCCAAGTTCTCTCCTCTCTTTGGGCATCTTTTTTGTTCTGTAGCATTCTTTGAATCCCAGTTGAAATATGATGGTAACTTAAGATGTGGTGGGATCCTTTAACAGTCTTTATGGTGTCCATTATTTCAGGTGACAAACTTGAAGACCTTGAAGAAGCCAATCCGTTTTCCTTTAAAGAGTTCCTGAAAACCAAGAACCTTAGCCTGTCAAAAGAAGACACGACCAACAGTCGAGTTTACCCGAAGGTACATCTATCTGGGAAGCACATCTCTTCTAACGCGCAGCTCTGGAGACAGATGTTTGAGTATAGGGAGCAAAGCAGGACAGCCGGTGGAGAAGCTGGGTGGAGCAGCTGCTTGGCCCCTTTGTGCAAGCTGAGCATAAAGAAGGCTGAGCATCGGCTCGCAGGCCGCAATGTTTGTCTCCACTGTTTTTAGGAAGCCTCGAGGCACCCACTGGGACTAGACCACAGCTCCCCTGCCTCCCAGCCCGTGGGGTATGGCCTGGAATATCAGCAGCCGTTTTTTCAAGACCCAACGAGAGCCAGCAACCTGGAGGAGGACGAGGAAGAAGATGGGTGGAATGGAGCCTACTTGCCATCCGCTGTGGAGCAGACTCATTCTTCTAGGGCCACAGAGAATTCATCGCCCTGTGGCACCTACCTGTCCTTTTTTTCCAACACATCAGAGCTGGCAGGTCCTGAGTCTTTGCCCCCATGGACACTGAGTGACACCGACTCAAGGATCTCTCCAGCATCTCCAGCTGGGAGTCCTAATGCAGACTTTACAGCTCTCGGAGAGTCCCTGGGAGACAGACACCTGCGGACGCTGCAGATAAGCTATGAAGCGGTGAGTGAGGGCTGTGCGGCACCAGACACAGCTGGGCAGTGTTCTAGAGAAGAGCTGCGGTCTTCCACTTCTTGGGCAGCCTGGACTTAATGCCAGAGACAAGACAGTTGGTCATGTAGTATCCTGCTGTAGAATTTCCCCTAGAGATACAGCTCAGTAGTAGCATTTTTTTCCCAACACTTGAGAGGTCCTAGGTCCTGAAAACTAAGAGAAAAAATGGGAGTTCTCCGTGGAGCACTCTCCCCTTGGTTGACTCTGACCGTGCTGTTAGTGTAGCAGATTGAGAAGTACTGTGGTGAGTGGAGTCGGACAAGCATGAGCTAGAATAAATGAATGGAAATGTTGGCCTGGGGACATCCTGCTGAGTGTCCTACATGAAGGAAGGTCTTAAAATTAGTCACCTGTCATGGTCATCTAAGGGCAGGAAGGTGGTTCCATTGACCTAGGGTATTTAAGTTCTGGAGCTGGGTGTGGTAATACACAGCTGTTCTCCCAACACTTGGAAAGTGAGGGCAGAAGGAACAAGAGTTCATGACCATCCTTGGTCATGTAGGAACAAATTAGAGCACAACCTGGTTACAGGAGACGCTGCCTCAAAAAGATACTTGTTGAGCAAGTGAGATTTGTCTCCACACTCAGCCTGCCTCAAATGCATAAGGCTCTGGGTTTCACCTGCAGACTGACCAAAGAAAATATTCTAGAACAAAAGTATGCTCCACAGTAGTATGGGTGTCTAATGAGGATTTTTTTTTTCTCTCTACAGCTGAAAGATGAAAATTCTAAGCTCAGAAGAAAGCTAAGTGAGGTTCAGAGCTTCTCTGAAACTCAGACAGAAATGTATGTAAACTTGTAGTTAGGCATCACCTTACAGACCTTCTCTACCATTCACAGAGCTTGGTTCCAAGGGATGAGGCACCTAGCCGCTGGTCATCCATAACCCTTAAAGCAGCAAACACACTTCTCATGTTGTTTTAGTCTTTTTAAGCACCAGACACAAGTCAGCTGAACTTTTTCTTGGTTGGCAGAGCTTGAGGAAATGGTATTTGTGCTTTCCACTGGGAGTATGAAACAGCAATGGCTGGAGGTCCTTGCCGCCTTGTGGCTGCCTGAGGCAGCTGCTCCGTCCATGGGGCTAGTGGGTTTCTCTAGTTAATCAATCTAAAGTGCTATTGGAAGCATCCTTGACAGTGGCCTGGAGAACTCAATTCAGTGTTTCCTTTACTGAGGGTGAGGACGCTTGAACGAAAGTTGGAAGCGAAGATGATCAAGGAGGAGAGTGACTTCCATGACCTGGAGTCAGTGGTCCAGCAAGTCGAACAGAACCTCGAACTGATGACCGTACGGAGTGGGCTCTGCTCTGGGGTAGTGGGCAGGGGACATGAAGCTGCTGAGACAGGGCACTTGCTGCTGTTGCCAGAGTCCACAGCTGGACCCTGAGACTCTCACCATGCTGAGTATGTGTTTTGTGGTAGGCCAGCATCCCCTGATACTATAAACAGGCTGTGTCTTTGAGTAGGTGGTCCCCAGTGCTTTTGGTGAGCTGAGGTAGAGCCCAGGTCCTAAGGGATGGGTATCCACGGGCAGAGTAACCAGGAAGGGAGATTCTAGCTCACTACTATCTGTTGCTCTAAGTGTCCTATACTGATACAGCCTTAGTGATGTGTGTTGTTTATTTTGGGTCCACAGAAACGAGCTATAAAAGCAGAAAATCATGTCTTGAAGCTGAAACAGGAAGTAAGTTTGCTCCAGGTAAGTAAAAAGAAGGATTTAACTGTTTGCCCCTTCCTTTGTAAAGTCCAAGAGATGTGAGTTCAGGGAAGAAACAAAATGTGCCCCAGGCATGGTGCTGTTTGCTTATAATCCCAGCATTCAGGAGGCTGAGGCAAAAGAATAGTCACATGCTTAAGACCAGCATGGGCTACAGGGCAAGAAGCACCGGTTGTGAGTAGATCAGGGCCAGCCTCAGCATCATGTGCAAGTCTGTGCCTCTTGGGTGTGATGCAGTTTGCCACTGGGTTGCTTGTAACACTAATTTCTCACCCTCTTTGTAGACACAGCTCTCCAACTTCAAGCGAGAGAATGAAGCCCTGCGGTCAGGCCAGGGTGCCAGCCTTACAGTGGTGAAGCAGAACACCGATGTGGCCTTGCAGAACCTCCATGTTGTCATGAACAGTGCACATGCATCCATAAAGTGAGTGAGTCCCTGGATAGCCTGGCTACCAGATGTTCTCGCTCTACAGCCTGACTAGACCAGGAAAGGAAATGTGCTAAGTGGTCTGGCTAGCCTGCCAGTTCACACTGTAGGCAGTTAAGCAGGGTTATTCTCTTGTTTTTGAGACAGGGTCTCACCAGGTAGCTCTGACTGTTCTGGAACTATGTAGATTAGGCTGGCCTTGAACTCACAGAGATCCGCCTGCCTCTGCCCTGGCGTGCTAGGATTAAAGGCGTGCACCACCTTGCCTGGCTTGTTTTTTTGAGACAAAGTCTCACTATATAGCCCTGGCTGCCCTGGAACTATGTATAGACCAGGCTGGCCTCAGATTCACAGAGATCCCCTGCTTCTATCTCTCAAGTTATGGGATTAAAGGTATACATTATCATGCCTAGTTTAGGATTTTGTTTTGTTTTGCTTTTTCAAACCAGGGTTTCTCTGTGTAGCCCTGACTGGCCTAGAACTCTGAAGACTAGGCTGACCCTCAAACTCAGAGATTCGCCTGCCTCTGCCTCCTAAGTGCTAAAATTTAAGGCATGGGCCACCACCTGCCAGACAGGATTTTTTTTTTAATTTATTTAAAAAATTATTATTTTTTTTTATTTGTTTTGGTCTTTCAAGATAGGGTTTTCCCTGTGTAGCTTTGGAACCTGTCCTGGACTTGCTTTGTAGACCAGGCTGGCCTTGAACTCACAGAGATTTCGCCTGCCTCTGCTGGATTAAAGGTGTGCGCCACCACCACCTGGCCAAAATTTATTTTTATTTCATGTACATTTGTGTTTTGCCTGCATGCATGTCTGTGTAAAGGTGTCAGATTCCCTGAAATTGGAGTTACAGGCAGTTATGAACTGTCTTGTCGGTATTAGGAATTGAACCTTGATCCTCTGGAAGAGCAGCCAGTGCTCTTAACCACTGAGCCATCTCTCCAGCCCCCGATTTTTATTTCTAATCTGTCCCAGAGAACCTCCTCACCTGGAAGATGTGGGTAGATGAATCTAGCTCTTTTACCTACAGACCCCGCAGCTCTGAATAAAGGGGATGATGTAACTCCCGCCTTGTCCAGAAGACTGCCACAGTGAGCATACTGTGCATCAGTCAGTTGTACCTGTCATCTTCCCTGAGCTCTGCTGCTAGACCCAGCGTGGCTGGCCTGAGGACAAGCACACAAAGCCCAGTGTGCCGAACCTTGGTTGAGCCGAGGAACTTTCTCTCTGGGCTGGGACCCTTTCCTTTCTATCTGTTGCTGGCTGCTTATGCACAGCTGGATAATGGCCCTGGTATCTGTCTGTTTCAGGCAGCTGGTGTCTGGAGCAGAGACACTGAACCTTGTTGCTGAAATCCTTAAGTCCATCGACAGAATTACTGAAGTTAAAGATGAGGCGGACTCTTGAGAACCACTAGCTGCCACCAGTTTGCACCACCTCTGCACCTGTGCCACCACGTCTTCCAAACATGCCCCTAACTATGCAGTCTTCAGCAAAGCATTTCATGGCCTAAGCAGTGTTGCTGGCCCCCTGCAGTGTGGGCTCCTCTCCAGCAGTTGCACTGACGGTTTACATGCAGTCCTTTGGGGGAAGTCCCACTGTCGATAGACTCACAGATTTACTGGAAGGCATTTTTATAAAATCCAGCAGTTTTTAGAAACCACTAAAGCTGAAATCAGCACTTTCATAAGAAGCCTCTTCCACTATCCTCTTGAATTTACCTGTCGGATAAACTTGGGCTCAACCTCAACTTTGTTAAGCTGAACACTAAGTGAGCCCATGTGGAAGTGAGCAGCCTGTACAGGGACTCAAGCCCTTTTTCTGTTATTTAGTACCTCACTAGCTGATGGTTGACGTTGTGACCTCCACAGGGTGGTTCCTGCTGTCAACCTCAGTAAGGCAGCATCAATTGATAGATACTGCCCTCCCACCAGGACCATAGCACCAACCAACGTCACAGATACTCCATATTGCAAATCTTCGTAAACTCACTGCGGTGAGCCTTCGGCTTTGGAAAGCCATCTGGGGCTGTCAGTTCTGATTCATGTTATATGTCAATGAGCCTTTTGCATAGGGCAGTTCAGACTGAAATTTAAAGGGCCCACACACACATCCTGGGGAGTCAGCACCAGGTCTTTGGGCTTTCTGATTTTTCAAGGACAAGCAAGGCATAATCAGCACCCTGTGCCTTACTGAGGGGCGGGGGCTTGGGGACCATTTTCCTATAGATTTTTTTTTTTTTAATTTTCTTTTCCCCTCCTGTTGAGATCAACAGCTTTCTTGTCTAAATAAATCCTGAAGCTCATTTATACTGTCTTGTCATTCTGGCAGTGTCAGGGATTCATGCTTGAGAGCTACCCTGCTCTTTTAACCTCAATGTCTGCATCTTTAGAGGTCGTTTTTGTCATTGCCTGCCTACTGTCAAGATCCCCAGGCTCTTGACCCTTGGAGTCAGGCACATAGCAAAAGTCACTACATTGTCAGTATGATGGGTGAGCCACATCCTTGCTGCACATTTTGAGGCTGGGTGAATGGAAGCCTAACATCAGATCTTCGGATATCTTGAAACTACTGGGCTCTTTAACTCAGGTACAAAGAACACCACCCCCCTACCCCCCCACCCCCGCTGTTGTCAGTGACTCAGAGCAGACCCGAAGTGGAGGGACACATAGGGAGACTGGGCTAGTGCTCCCTTTGCCTGCAGGACTTGAGGCAGAGTTGCCATCTAGAGCATACTTCAGCATGCCCCCACCACTGTGAGTGAGATGGGGGCTGCACAGCTCTTTGTGCGCTCTTCCCCTGGTTTATGCGCTAAGTGTCCATGGAGCAAAGGCAAACGGCTCTAAAGTTACAAGTACGATAGTTGCCTGACAGTTTATACCAGACTTGCCCCACACAAACAGGTCCTTGTACAGGCAAGATTAAATACCAGGCACCTACAGGTCTGCTTCAGAGCCCCAGACTCACCAGGACCAATCCCAACCTTGGGCCAGACTTTTTTTCATTTGAGACAGGATCTATATAGTCCTGGAATTTGCTGCGTAGACCAGGCTGGACTTAAACTCACAGAGATCTGCCTCCTAAGTGCTTACCATCTTGTGCCTCAAACCATTACCCTGCCCCTGTCACTCACACGCATTATTAGACATGAGAAAGACGCCCCCAACTTCTCTATCCAGCCCTGTTGATGGGCTGGCGTCTAAGTCAGGTCAGGCAAATGTTCCTCAATGAATGAATGTTCACTTCAGGCGGTACCAGGTTATGGGATACAAAGTCGCCAAATGTGTAACAGCACGTAGCGACCCACTCACTGGCCATTCACCCAAACCCACAGGACATCAAGGGACGAACCACGGAACTCCCAGGAAACTCCGAAGACACTGAGCTCTCTAGGACCCGGTCCCAGCATGCTCTGCGCCGTGCCCGGGGCGGAACTTCCGGTACGAGCCTGCTGAATTTCGTGGCCGCCAGAAGCGTGATGTGCGTGTGGTCGCCTGGGCGACGGAACAGGCTGTGGCGTGTGTAGAGCGGCCTAATAGGTGAGGACGGGAGTGCTGCAGCTAGCAGGAGTTGAGTCCTGGAGGGGCGGAGCAAGAAGCGTGGGGAATCCGAGGCCCAGTGTGGCCACTACCTTGCCGGAGCGGAAATCCCGCATCCCGAGCCCAGAGACGCCGCAGGTTTGCACAGTGCTACCCTTCGAGCCGCTGCTCTTCCTGGTTATGCGTCGCAGCCCCAGTGATCAAGCGTGGCTAATCGAATCCAGCAACGAAGAGTGCTTGAGCCTTCAATTGCCTAGCCCGGAATCGGGTTATGCCCTTAGAAGGGACAGGCAGAAAGGCACCTCTGATGTCAGTGAAGGCTTGAACATGTGACCTTTTCTTCATTCACAGCGCGATGGGGGTGGGAGATGGAATTTCTGTCGCCTCAAAACGCACGTTGCGTTTTCGTTGGAGGTCAGGGGTCCAAAGGCAATGGTTATTGCTTGGTCTGCAGATCTGGCTGCTTCTAACCAAACTTGGTTGAAGTAAGACACCTAGTTCAGGAACGACATGCTTTGTTTTGATGCAATCAGGCAAAGCTGCTGCCAACACTTCGGTAGTAAAAAGTCAAGCCAGGAGCAGAATGTTTCTCTTTTCTGAATCTGAGTGTGAACTTGTGTTTGATTTTTGTTTGTGACAGGATTTCACTAGTGGCCTGAAACTCAGAGATCCATCTGCCTGTTCTCCCAAACGCTAGGATTAAAAACACATGCAGCAGGGTGGTGGTGGTACATGCCTTTAATCCCAGCACTTGGGAGACAGAGGCAGGCGGATTTCTGAGTTTGAGGCCAGCCAGGGTTGCACAGGGAAACCCTGTCTTGAAAAACAAAAAGAAAGAGAGAGAGAGAAAGAGAAAAGAGGGGTGTGCCACTACCTTTTTGGGGTGGGTTTTTTTTGGGGGGGTTGGTTGGTTTTTTTCAAACAAGGTTTCTTTGTGTAGCCCTGACTTTTCCTGAAACTCTGTATGTACATCAAGCTGGCCTCGAACTCAGAGATCCACCTGCCTTTTCCTCCAGAGTGCTGGAACTAAAAGCATGGGCCATTATACCCAACTTTAACATCTAGCTTCCAACTTTCACAGCCAGCTTTATCGTATTTGTTTATTTGCTTATATGTGTGGTGAGGTTGTCAGAGGAAAACATAGAGTAGGGTCTCTCCATCATGTTGTTCCTGGGATTGAACTCAGGTCATTAGGGTCATTAGGCTTTAGTGGCAAGTACCTTTACCTGAGAGCTACTCACCCACCATGCTTTAAAAAAAAAAAAATATATATATATATATATATATATATATATATATATATTTATTTATTTATTTTATAGTGTTCTGCCTGCATGTATGCCTGAAGGCCAGAAGAGGGCACCAGATCTCATTATGGATGATTGTGGGCCACCATGTGGTTGCTGGGAATTGAACTGGGGACCTCTGGAAGAGTAACAAGTACTCTTAACCGCTGAACCATCTCTCCAGCCCAAGCTTGTGTTTTCTGTGAAGGCCTTTCACTCTTCCCTTCCCACTTTCCTGCTCTCTCAGACTTTGCTTAGTGTTCCCATGAGTTTGCTTTGTGCTCAGTGTCGGGCGGCACTGTGTGCCAGGTACTGTTCTGATAAGCGAGGTCACAGCCCGAGCAAAGCCTCGCTCTGAAAGCCCTGTGTCGAGCAGGGCCACCTGCAGCTGTGGTCTTGGTACTTTTAGATCACAGCAGCTGAACGTCTTTTGCCTTGCACCTTCTGTCTTTGGTAACCAGCTCACTCTGATTGGACACAAGGGCACAGGGGCCAACAGGTTGACTGTGTTTTTACCTATGCTGATGGTAGCCACAAGGAAGGCAGGGCCATTGTCAGGTGTTGATGACAGGTGATGAATCAAGAACAGGAGTTCCTGGGTGTGAAAGTGTCACCTTGTAGGAACTTCACCTCGGAGCACCCCCAAGCTGATCTCGAGCCTAGGTCTCCCCATCTGGGTAGCCCATTGCCTGCTTCTGAGCAGGCTCTTGCCATCTCCAGCGAGTTTGTGTCTGAAGGAGGGTGAGATCCAGGCACATGCAATTCTCATGTCTCTTAATACTGTGAAGGCAGGTGAAGCCATGGACATCGATGCAGAGAGAGAGAAAATAACACAGGAGATCCAAGAACTCGAAAGGATTTTGTATCCTGGATCCTCCAGCACCCATTTGGAGATCTCTGAATCCAGTCTCAGTTCAGACTCTGAAGCAGGTATGCCCATGTATCTCGCATTGCATAGCATGGCGTGGCTGGAGCACCTGTGTGTACCCTTTAACTACGTTAGGCTGTGAACTGCTCTGTGGCCACTCTTGTTTCTTGCCCAAACTGTCCTCTGCTTTTACCTCAGAAAGTTCCTTCCATTCCTTCAGTCTTTAGCTCTTGGGTCTGCATGTGTATCTGACCTGGGCCCCCCAGGCAACAGTGGCATCCTGGAGGGAGGGGAGGGCCCAGAGTCCAGCCTGTCAGGTTGAGTAATCTCCATGGCCCAGACACCCAGGATTTTTTTTCTAGACTTAGTGGATAACGCTCCAGTGGGACCCTGTTGTAAGGGCTCGTCCCTGTCTGCAGCATGCCCTTGCTGTCTGTGATCATACTCTAACATGGTATGCTTGTGTTCCTTATAGATTTCCTGCCCGATGAGGACTTAGGAACTGCTGGTGTCCCCATCCTGGTAATTGTTGCTTACTAGTGTGGGCTGCTGGGGCTTACCTGCTGCTTACTGCCTTCCAAACCAACCCAGAGGACTTGGTTTGCACTCCTGCTGGTTTTCCTACAACAAACGCCCATTTATTGTGAAAATAAGGCATCACAGAGTGTTCTCTCCTTGTGGTGCTAGTGATGGAATCCAGGGACTCATTCACACTAAGCTCACCCCGTACCACTGAGCTCATCCCTGAACACAAACTATTATCAAAGCTAAAGTTATCGGCAGAATTAAGCCCTCTGACAGGCTGCTAACTGTAACTGCTGGCTTTTCCTGCACTCACACTGAAAACATCAGATGTGGGAGGCAGCAACCCATATGTCTGGCCCATTTCACAGCTTAACCGCCGTTCCTGTTTCCCTCTAGACAGTGGTCACCATGGATGACTTAGAAAAGCACCTGGCAGAGATCTGTTCATACCAGAAGAACCATGTTTTGCTAACAATATTTTGATCATTTTAGGAATTTTGTTTGGGGAATTTTTTTACAGTTTTCTTATTTCTTTACCAAACGAACAGGAATAGAGTCCCTTAGTGTTTCAGGACTATGTGTCTGCTCACTAGATTGACACAGCCCTGTAGTCATTAGACATTTGGTATTCCCAGGCTTTGACCTCTATGGCTATTCAGGGAGTTTCTTTGCTGATATCTGACACTTGAGGTACTGGGGGTGGGAGTACAATAAACTTGCTGTGAAGTTCAGGCTTCACAGAGATGTCTGTTGCAAAAATGGAAGCTGCTTGCTATGGTACACCAGCCCCCAGCTTCCAACCCCAGCATGTGCTTCACAAGCAGATCTCATATTGATTTGAAAGGATACACATACTCCGGCTTGAGGGTGATGGGCTTTGTTTCCAAATATAACTCCTCCCTCGCCCCGGTAGGATCAGCTCATGGTTCCGCATTCAGGGGCTCATACTAGAGCTGCCTCAGTATTCCTTGTGGGTTTGGGCCTGAGCGTGGCAACAAGAAAGGGGTTGCTGTCTCTTCATTTGCTATTTCTGGCTCCTAACCAGGGAGAAGAAAGATGGAGTGAGGCCAGCAATGAAGAGGAGGAC